ACTGTTCCGTACAAATACCCCCAAATCAGGGAGATTATTGAATGGGTTTTCGCAGAATATCGGCCAGGAACTATAATCGGTATGTCTGTCGACGAGTACGCCCAAAGCATGAAATCGTCCATAGGCCCTCATCAGCAGTCGGATTTCATTTGGCTGGAGACCTTGGTACTTATCGGCCAATCGGAACCCCTTTGTACACAAGTCTTCCATGATGACAGCTGCGATCGGTGTGGATTCCTCGTTCGCATAAATGCAACGTGGCACATCAGGCATGATCATTTTTTCCTTCTGCAAATTGACCATGGTTGGAATGAGGTCATTGTAGACCAAAACTTCTCTTTTGAAAAAGCCTATTTGCTCTATAGTCTCCCTGTGTTTTGGCTGGACGGGGAGAAACTTCCCAATGTACACAGTATCGCGGTTCTTCCGTGACCCATCGCAGCCGCTGATGTAGCAGGCCTTGATGCGATAAACGATGGTGGCGAAATTGTCACCCGCTTCTGTTGCTCGTTCTACATGGAAGTCCTTCATTTCGATTTCTTCTTCTCCTGTGTCCTTCTCGATTAATGTCTTGAGGAACTCTTGTGTGATATCGTCCACGTTGTGATGGATTTCATCCATTCCAGCAACTAAGTTAAAAACAAATACTCCCTGTCCCATTTCGAAAGACTGTACGGCATGGAGTTACATTGCAGGCATTGTGCTCGAAACAAAATTAAAAAGCATTTACTTGCGTATTTTTTCAAGCGTTCCCAAGTACCCCAATATGGCGACCATGATATGCAAATTGACTTAGACACTAATATAATGATGGTAGTAAAGTGTCAATTGTTTTAATCTTGGTCTTGGCTGAAATACTCATATTGTGAGTGACGTACGGATTGCGCACGAGGTGCATGTTGATTATATTGATATAATTATGAACTTGGGCAGGTTCTCACCCTTTATCTGATATGTTTGTTTTTTAGTTTCCTATTAGATTAATGAGCTGATATATCTTCGTTCCATCAGGGAATAAATCCAGATAATTAAGAATACTTTGCCTCAAATTCCACATGGATGAGGGAAATTTGCTTGGACTTAATGCACCTAGCAAAATATAGATCAGGGCTGTGCAACCTTTTTTTTTTGCATCGAGCCACAAGGAAATGTCTGTCTCCTCAAGCGGGCCAATGTATGGAAAAGAAGAGACTCCTCTCTTTTTGAAGGCATTGGGCCTCGAAGATACTTTAGTCGCACTGTTTGACCATGACCCTCATCTCGTCCCCATTCCCAGGAAATGCCTCAGGTCAATAATCGCCTTTGCGTGACATGAAGACTTGAACGGGGGAAACGACGCGAGAGGGCGGCCGGGAATAGATCCGGGTCTCCTGATTGCCGGTCATGTGCATTAGCCATTGTACCATTACCGAATCCGGGACAATCGGTAGAGCCTTTCAATGCCATCCTTATCGCATTTTCATTGAAAACCTCATTCCTCGGGACGTTTCCGGAAGCGCCAGCTTGAGGGATAATTAGAAGGAAGTGAAAGGACTCAGCTTGTTTCTATGATTGCTACCAATGGAATGATGAAAGTCGTGATGGGCCTTGGGTCGCAGAGAACTTTAATTCTTTAACCATTGCCCATTACCGGGCCGCTTAAAAAAAGTCCACCTGCGGGTTTCACACTCCTGAAACAGTTGTTAGTGGAGGATGTGTAATGGTTGAAAATGGGTGTACGTGACCATGGAGGCACTTGCTCATCTGTTCATCTCGTACTTCAAGCACTCGCATAGCAAGGTTGATGCTGCCTCTCTTTATTGTCAGATGGGTGCTTGTGGTCACCGTCTGGGGGTGCATCAGTCCTTTCACGCCGAGGGGTGCGTGCAACCCATAAAAGAAACTGATGTCAATTTAAAAGAGGATGGCAAAAGAGGGTGGTTGCATGGCCAACCCGAGAGTTGATCACACAACCATCCATTGTAATGTACAACAAGATGAGCATTCTCACTCTATTTTCATGTTGATCATGCTTACCCCGCGGTGGCTGTCCAGAAGCAAAGCATGCACACCATTAAGGGTGTGAGATCTCTCCTTTATTATTTGCTGTGGAAAATGCAACTCCTCATAGCTATTTGCGTTCACCACGTCCCTTTCACTAACAGTAACTTGCTTTGATTTCGTGATGTTCCTCGGTGACAGTTACTTAATCACCGTTCACGCTAATCTGGCGTTCCCCTTTCGAAATCAAGTTAGTTTCTGACCCATTAGATTGAGGGCGTTCCACAATGAAGTGCATTCACGAGTCAAGATACTCGAGGGTGTGAAAGCGCGTGGAACCGTTCAGTTGTCATATTCGCGAATCTCAAAGAACTCGAATCCGATGTTGCCTCTTACTGAATATCTTCGCTGTTTCCTAAACTCGATGCCTGAAGTTAATATAAATTTGGCTCCTGTGAATCCAAAAATACGTCTAAGAAGGCGAGAGTCGTTAAAAGCTTATCTGATAAAAATCTCTTAAATTGCTGAGAGCATACTCACATGGAGAGCGAATCCTCGGAGAGAAGCAGGGCGGCAGGCCAACGGACGCAACGAAGATCGTGTCGCAATTGTTTATGGGAGCATCCTCGAGCACGCGAGTCGGCCTTGGGGTCGCTGCTGCAGCAGATAAGAGATAGCGCGTCGGAGTTAGTGTTCTCTTAAGTGTTTACGCGTTTGTGTTCCACCTTCGTACGGATTTAAAAGTCCCTTTTGTCTCCCAAGCTGTCCAGTTCATAACATTCGCTTGGGAATAAGATTCATTTAAAATAAATCTTCGACGACCTGAAAGAATTCAGTAACGTTCTTCCATTCGATTTAAACACTAAATCCCTTACCTCCCAAATCATAAAAATGGATCGGATTTACATGTTCTTCTTTTCCCTTTTCACTTTTTCATGCTTGTTTAGAGCGAGCATCTATTAATATATAAATGAGAAGAATCGAATTCATTCATCCATTCAACGTAGTTTATCGGTTTTGTCTGGAGTGAAGTGGCCGAGAATCTCGTCCTCATCTCGTACCTGTATATACCGGATAGCCCAAAAAAGTCCCGAACTTTACACGCCTGTAGATGGTGTACCGTAAGAGTTATCGATAGGAAATTTACAGGCTTTTACATGCAATGTTTGCAGGTAACGTAACAAAAATGCATTTGAAATTGGTCGTAAATTACATCAGTAATAATTTTTCTCCCGCGCGATGTCAAAAGATCGTGTGCGCAAAGACACGCGCCTGACCTCAATAAAAGAAATGATTGATGGGTCCTCCATGGATTATTTTCCTTGGATCGCCCGCCGAGGCACCGAGCCGGCAAGAGCACCGACTTGCATGGAAGGAGCTCTTGCTCGGGTTCAGAGGAATGAATTTCGCTGAAAATTTATTGAAACCATCTACACACGATGAAAATTTCAAGACGATGCTTAGCATAGTGTCCCTTCTGCAGACGCATGAAGTTCAGGACTTTTTTTTGGGCCACCCGGTATATACGACATCAGAGGCAGACACAAACATTTTTCATAGGTGGGGGGGGGGTTCCCAAAATTCCTACCTACCGACCTACCTACCTACCCTAGGAGGCGGCAAAGCAGGAGGGTCGGCGCCCGAGCGTGTCCTCCACTCCAACAGCAGGGGCTCTTGTTTCTTCATTCTCAATGTCTAACTTCTTTACAATAAATGCTGATAGAAACGCTTCGGTGCAACGGATTTGGGTGAAATTTGAGGTATAAGTTGGAAACATACACATATATGCAATGTGAAAGTTTCGCGAAAATAACTTCATTGGGAGGGAAGATATGTAGGTTGGAATTCGTTGGTCTCTTTCTTGTCATACCCCGTATAATGTCTAAATGCATAATTATCTGCAGATGTATGTAGGACCGAATTTTGGCTGGTGAACTCCTCCAAGGTTCTTATAGCGATTTTTATTTTATCAACGATGGCTCAGTCGTTTTCTAATTATGTGTGGATGTGCAGACTCATTTTCGATTTTTCTCTGACCTGACCATTAGAATTAGAATTAGAATTCATTTTTATACTGCAAAAATGTTGACATTTGATCCTGCTGTGATCAATCTAGGTTGAGAGTGCACTGGCGCCATCTCTGTGCATCAGATAACTGCTTCTAGACCACCATATCAGTTATGATACCAGTTTTCGACACACGACTTCGCATCGAAGTTCACTTTTGTTCTCAGTTGTACTGAGGAGTGTTCGTCGTTCTCATCACCAGCGGGTATATTATGACATAGGTTATCGGCATTAGCGCACATTTCATTTAGGATTTTTGCTGAATTTTTTCACATTTTGATTTTGTTCATGTGGATAACCACATGAACAAATAAGAGAGAAAGGAAGAGAATTTAAACAAATGTGACCTGGCCGGCAGAATGTGATGCTTAGCCTAAATCTATTTCAAGGATCCATTGTAGGCCTGGGTGCCACAGATGTTCAACCCCAACAACAATGTGTCAACATTGACGAAAGGTTGAAATGTTGAGACATGGTTGAAGCGAAGACAAGGTTGATTCTTTCTGTGGCGAAAAGCGTAGTTTGATAAGAAAAAAACTCAAACGACCTGAAGTGAACCAAAACAATACGAAGTGACCCTGATGTCATATCGGTTCAGTATTTAAAAGCTTATTCATCCGAGAGATCTCCAAGTTTACTGAAGTAAGAAATTAATCAAATTGACCAGTGACGCGATTAAAAATGAATGAAAACTAATGAAACAAAAACCTAAGTTATATTTCGAGCAATACTTTGATGAGCAATTGCAACAGATAGCATGTCTCTTTTGTAAATGTTTTCCGGGTGTCTTCCGAATTTTTTACTCTTTCAAATATTGGTCTGGCTACTTAGTGACTGAGACAGTCCTTTGCAGTAGGTCGAGCAAAGAATAAATTCTTCAATATCAAACACTGTAAACATATTTGTTACCATAGTAAGCAATTTGGCGACACGATTCCATAGCAAGTCCGACGTCAAAGAACTTCAAGTTGAACCATGTGCTCGACGACTTCGACGAGGCGTTGCTTGATGGTCGCAGTCCCCTCAGAGAAGAGCTGCTGTTCCCGAAGCCTCATCATTTTGTCGGGATTCAAGTCCGTCGTAACGTACTCGGGGACCTCGGGCTTTTCAGCCAGAATAATTGGGATGATGAACATAGCCATAAAGAATCCGAATTCTTCGTGCGCCTCCATGTCCTTCTGGAAATCTTGGAAAGAATAGTCGAGGACCAATCCAAGACTCTGTGCAGTATCGAGGAGAGTGTCGTGATATAGCTTGAGGAAATCGGGTGTCTGCTCCCGAACTTCCCTAGACGTGCTACAATAAAGAGCAAACATGAGGTCGCGACATGGATTGCCATAGGCGACGATCTGGAGATCAAGGATCTTCATCTCCACTGGTTCTCCCGTATCGGTGTCGTAGCGGAACATCATGTTGTTGCACCAGCAATCCCCATGGAGGAAGGTCTGCAATCCGCCTCCCTGATTTGAGAGTTGCAAGAAACGCTCTTTCCCACCGTCGACTTTCACGACGTAGTCCTTCACTCTTCGTGCGTTCTCCTTCTGCCCGGGCATATCCTCCAGGAGTCTCCAGACGGAATCGAGACTGTTCCGCACCATTTCTCTCAATTGGGGGTGTTTTTCGTATGCGTAAAAGCGGAAAATCGGCCAGGAACTGTAATCGGTATGTCGGTCGACTAGTACACCCAAAGCATGAAGTCGTCCATAGGCCCTCATCAGTAGTCGGATTTCATTTGGCTGGAGACCTTGGTACTTATTGGCCAATCGGAACCCCTTTGGTCGCAAGTCTTCCATGATGACAGCTGCGATCGGTGTGGATTCCTCGTTCGCATAAATGCAACGTGGCACATCAGGCATGATAATTTTTTCCTTCTGCAAATTTATCATGGTTGGAATGAGATCATTGTAGACCAAAACCTCTCTTTTGAAAAATCCTATTTGTTCTATGGATTCCCTGCGCTTTGGCTGGACGGGGAGAAACTTCCCGATGAACACAGCACCGCGGTTCTTCCGTGACCCATGGCAGCCGCTGATGTAGCTGGCCTTGATGCGATAAACGATGGTGGCGAAGTTGTCACCCGCTTCTGTTGCTCGTTCTACATGGAAGTCCTTCATTTCGATTTCTTCTTCTCCTGTGTCCTTCTCGATTAATGTCTTGAGGAACTCTTGTCTGATTTCGTCCACGTCGTGATGGATTTCATCCATTGCGGCAACTAAGGTAAAAACAAATACTCCCTGTCCCATTTCGAAAGACTCTACGGCATGGAGGTATTTTACAAGCACTGTGCTCGTAGCAAAATAAAAAAAGCATTACATTTTTTTTTTTAGTTTTCCGAAGAAAACCTTGCCTTGATCTTGCCTGAAAGACCCATTTCGTCACTGACGGATTGATGGGCGGGGCTCGCTAATGACATTTTCATGTGCTTGTTAGGATTCTCGGGCTTTATCTTATTTGTTTATTTCTTAGTTTCCTGTAAGATTGCTGAGCTGATATGATACTTTCATTCCATCAGAGAATAAATCCAGCGAGTCAAGAATAAGTTGACTCTAATTCCACACGGACGAGAATAATCTAATTGAACTTCATCTTATACATATGTCTTATACATACATATATCTTATACATCTCATACATACATATGTACTTTAATTCGAAGAGCCCGAAAGTTGTTCTGGCAGCTGTCACCCCAACGCGCGAGGCCTACGAGACTATGTCCTTTTAGGCCATGGGCAAGACCATCTGGCTCGAAGGGCCAGGTCCATTGGGCTATGCCAGTCTGAGCCATGGGCTGTGACTCATCTCGTTTCCATATAGTTCATAATAAGCTGTGTCAATCAAAGGGTGATACTAACCGAATGCGTGTCACGTTCCATGCAATAGCTTTTTGTTTACGTTTTATGTAAGGGCCGATTAATTTGAGTTCTCACGATTGATGAAGTCAAAAATAATCACATAAGTTCTTTGCTTCGTGTGTCGCGCAAACGGCCGTACAATCAACATGGTGGTGATTTTTGCGAGGTGAAGTTGAACTCGAAGAAAAAATGGCGAAGGAGGTCCCACAGGATGGCGATGAGGCAGTCGCTGTAGATAAAAAACGATTGGTGCCGGCGCGGAAACGACGTTTGCCGCTGCAGTTACGGTGCGAAGTGCCTAAAACGGTGCCTAAATGGTGCCTAAATGGGTGCTAGCCATAATGGCCAGAATGGGTGATGTACGTAAGGTGCTTAGGGCCGCTCAGACCGCTGTACAGCAAGAGGCAGCGAAAGCTGGACTTAGGAATAGGAGATCCTTGGAGCCTGCTGAGCAACTTGAAGCAGGGAACGGAGCATTCAGGTGTCGAAAGCCGGGGGGGTCAGGAATCGAAACCGGACCTCCTGCTTGCCGGTCAGGTGTGATACCCATTACACCATGGAACTCGGGACATTTGGTCATGCCTTATTCCTGTCATCTCAATAATTACGGTCGTTTGTCACATGGAGCACTGTCAGGCTGTAAATTTTGCTGTAGGGAGGGGGCATTTGCTTCATATTGCTGCCAAAACGGAAAAGTGCTCCTGCTGCAGCTCACACTTTTTCAGAGCCTCAGGATGGTGTTGCTCACTGGTGTCGGCGAGGCATTTTCAGCAATTATTCGCAAGTATCGTGTCGCACATGCGCTAACTTCCTTCTGTGCTGAAGTCGAACGAGTTCTTGGAAATTGCCTGTTCCAGAAACAGTGGTATCTGCGCCATAAGCTAATGCTAATACCCCATGAGCTAATCAGTGATGCAAGAGTACTGAATTTGCTGGGAGAACGAAATCGGGAAAGTCGTCTCGAGTCTCATGAAAACCTACTAAACCTATGCGTTCACGATGGCGATTGTGGCAATCGGCTCGAACATCACGATGAATGTGTTTAGGAACAAAATCTCCCATTTTACTGTAATCTGTATGTAGTCTGTACTGTAATCTAATAAAGCGGTTCAGTTCCGAATGAGCAATGCGATGAGCAGAGGATGTCAAGGAGACGTATGAACACAGGATGTCAAGGAGACGTTATTCTCACAATAGAATATTCAAATTTCTGCCTATTAGACGGCCAGCATAGTGCATATATAAAATATTGATCAGGGGCGTGCAACTTTTTTGGCAGTGTGTCCGCAGGGAAATGTCTGACTCGTCAAGCGGGCCATAGAATAAAAAAGAAACGACTCCCTTCTCATAAAGCGAAAGGCATAAGGTCTCTCTGATCGTCCGATAACCCTTACCTACTCCCTCATCTCTAGGAAATGCCAAAACTAAAAAATATCCTCGTTGGAAACCTTGGGACATTTGCGGAAGCGCCAGCGCGAGGAACGATTAGGATATCAAGTGAAAGGACTCCGCTTATTTTTTGTTTCCCTTGGATGATGAAAGTTCTGATGGGCCGCGAAGAACTTTACTCTGTTTTTCCTCTCATCCCATCGCCTATTACCTAGAAGCAGATCCACCTGTCCACCTGGTCACCTGGCCACCTGTCAGGAATGTTTGAAACGTGGGTGCATGCTTCCCTCGCTTCATGCTTTTTTTTCATGGATTCGCACTTCCACGTTTTTTTTCTTTACTGCCAAAGATTCAATAAATTGAAACCGTGTATCTGCTAACCACACCCAGTGCTTTCCGAATTTTTGGCAGAAAAAAATGTGGATTCGCGAATCCGTGTAAAACTAAACCGCTTAAAGCGAGGGAACCCTGTACGTGCAAATGTAGGCCCATGCTTACCAATACCTGTTCATCTCCAACTCGAGGCACTCGCATAACACTCTTAAGATCGTGTTGGTTCTCTTTAATGTCAGATGGGTGCTTGTGATCACCGGCTTGGGATGCATTAGTCTTTTCACGCCGAGGGGCGTGTGCTACCCATAAAAGAAACTGATGTCATTTTAAAAAGAGGATGAAGCATTTGCACCTGAGCAGTTGGTCATGCAACCACCTGGACAACAAGGTGAGCATTCTCGCCCCAGTTTCGTAGTGTTTATGTTCACTTCGAGGCGGCTGTCCAGTGGCAAGGCATGCACACCCTTATAGGGGTGGGAACTCTCCTTTATTATTTGCAGTGTAGAATGTAGCTACTTCTTATAATATATAATATATACTTCTTATAATATATGATGGTATGAAAGCGCTTGTGACCGTTCAATTGTCATATTTGCGAATCGCTCAAAGAACTCGAATCCGAAGTTGCCTCGTACTGAATTTATTTACTGTTTCCCAAACTCGATGCTTGGAACTTATACCAATTTGGCTCCTGCGAATCCAAAGTTATGTCTAAAAAGGCGAGAGTCGTTAAAGGTTTACTGTAAATCTCGTAGAGTGTTGAGGGCATACTCACGCGGAGAGCGAATCCTCGGAGGGAAGCAAGAGAGGCAGTCGAGCCGAGTGAGGAGAATAGTGCTTGTTTATGGGAGCATCCTCCAGCACTCGAGTCGGCCTTGGGGTTACCACTTGAGCAGATTTACAGGGTGGCGCAAAAGTTCCCATCATTTTTTTTATTACATTTTTTTTTGTGATTGACGTGTTTTAAAGTTTTTTTCTCATCTTTCAGATGCACTTTACATTTCTTCATATGTTTTGATCTTATTAATTTTGTAGACATGAATCCATTTCGACCCGAATTGTCCGTGTGTTTGAAGAAGAAAAGCGAATTGCTTAAATCGGCCGCGTGCTCAATTTGTCAGGAATGACAAATTGTGCAAGCGACTCCGACGTCATCAAAGGTCACCAAGAGATTGGGAGCAAGCATGACCGTGTTCCCAGCAGTCGTCCAAGGATTTCAAACGAAATCTGGACTCGTCAACCGAAGAAAGACGAAGGAACGAATCCAAAGGAATCCTGGGTGGTCGACAAGGAAACTCGCCACGGCTGTCAAAATTTCCCGAAAGATCAGTTCAGCGAATGATCAAAAAGGATCTCCAACTCAAGGCCTACAAGCTATAAGATAATCTACAAGATAATCTACAAGCTGTACAATGAAAGCAACTCGACTGAAGAGATGCAAAACTTAGAAAAAAAATTTCACCGCTGGACGACACAAATTAAGCGTGTTTTCGGACGAGAAACTCTTCACGATCGAGCAGGCATACGACCACACAACCGACAGGATTTGGGCAACCGAAGCTCCTCTTCGAGCAAGGATTGTCGGCAAATTCCACTCGTTTTCGTTGAAATTCACGAGGTCTTGGTAAGAATAGTCGAGGACCATGCCTTTTTTCTCTATGCAGTACCGAAAAGAGCGTTGTTGCTCTGAGAGTTGCTCTCCCTGGTGCAATAGGTCGCGGCATGGATTGCCATAGGCGACGATCTGGAGATCAAGGATCTTAATCTCCACCGGTTCTCCCGTATCGGTGTACGTATCGAATCGTATCTGATAAACGATTGTGGCAAAGTTGTCACTGGCTTCTGCAGCTCGTCCTACTTGGAAGTCCTTCAACTCAATCTCGTCTTCTCCTGTCTGTTTTAATTCGCTTCTTGACGAACTCCTGTGTTATATCGTCCTGTGTTATATTCCCCGTCCCATTTCAAAGGACTGGAATGCGATTAAGTGCATAGCAAGAACTGTGCTCGAAGTGCCGTAAAAATGCATTAAATTGATTTTATTTTTAATAAAGCGATTCAGATTTGCAAATCTAGTTTGCGAGAAATTTATTGGTGATACATGACCGTAATTTGCATTTACTCCTTGACAGCGGAATTATTACCAATTGCCTGCCAGGTTTCAGCATTTATTTAAAAAAAAAAAACTTACTTCACAGAAAGCAATGACCAAAGCAATGACCAAAACTTACTTCACACCAAGCTTGAGTAAATGGCTCGAACCAGCATTACAGTGAGGTGGTCAATTCCCTAATGGACTCATGACCCAATTTTCACCGAAGCAGTAGAATTCCGCGCCTGGTGGCGATACCACGAGACGGCCTCGAAGATTAATGCCAATGGGGAATTTTTGTCTCAGAACGAATGGCTCATAACGTCCGAGAGAAAGAGAAAGCGCAGGATGCCCTGGTGACGATGACATCATCATGTATCTCGTGCGGTTTCTCAGACGTCACATTTTTTATGTTAGCCTTTCTTTTTTGCACTATTGAAGAGTTTTTCTGACAACATCCATGCCTAGAACATATCCACCTGTACAATAGCAGGTTGGGGGGGGGGGGGGGGGGGGGGGGAAGTGGGTTGTGTGGGGGGGG